GGATGGAGGGGGGGGACGTGGTGCGGGCGTGGTGAGGGCGCGGTGGGATGCATTTGGGTAGGGGGATCGGCAGGCGAGCGGGCGCGGATACGTTTTCAGCGCTGTCCTTATTGTCCAGGGCTCGCCCCTCTCCGCTGCGCCTTCCCTTCTGTCTTCCGCCCACTTACTCTTGGGATGCGCCCTCGCCCAATCACCACCCTCACCTCTTCACCGTCGACCCCCGCAGTCCCTCGGCTCTGGCGCCGTGCTGGTGTCCGGCAACGAGCTGAAGCTCGCCATCGCGGCCGGCTTCGACGCCTCCCGCTGCATCTTCAACGGTGGGTCTGGGGCACGCCAGAAGTTTTTTTGGGGGGGGGGAAGGAGCGTCCAGTGGCTTGGCTCAGAATGATAAAGGCAAGGCTGGTGCGTGGTCTGCCAGGGATCGGCTTCGTTGGGCAGTTTGCCTTTGCGTGCACGGGGAAGGGGATGCAAGGCAGGTGGCTGGAGGGAGGGGAGCGGTACTGAGGATGGGAGTGCACACCGTCGCAGGATCGACTGTAGCGCGCACCTCGCTGCTGGCCGCCGCCCCCGCTGTCCCCAGGCAACGGCAAGCTGCCCTGGGAGCTCGAGCTGGCCGCAGAGGCCGGCTGCCTGGTCAATGTTGACTCGGAGTTTGACTTTGCCAACATCGCCGCCGCCGCCAAGAAGGTGCGGCGCACCGGGGGGGGAGGGGCGGCGGCTGCGGCCGGGGGAGCCTGCAGGCTCGGATGCGGTCTCACTGCCAGGCAGGCCGTGACTGGCAGCGAAACCAACACAGCTCTGGAAAGCAGCAGTGCATGCCGCGGCCGCGCGCGGTCAGGGGCCCACGCGCTCGCACTGTACCGCGGCACGACACCCTTCACCCCTTCTCCTCTGGCCTCTTTTCCTTTGGACCCCACCCCCCTCCCCTCCTACGATCCGTCCGCACCCCCGCCCTCCCCAGCCTGCGACACCCCTGTACAAACAGACCCTCTGCAACAACACCCGCAAACACCCGGCCTGCCCCACCCTCCTCTGAAAGCCCGACCCTGTCCTCCCACTTCTGGCTCATCCTGCATTTTGGCACCCCCACATTTTGGCACCCCCACAATACTTCACGGGCCGGCCGACCCCTCATCGATACCCGCACGCACGCGCGCGCAAACACACACACACGCACCCTCACACACACACACACACCCTCACACACACACACGTGTCCCCATCCTCTCCCTTGACCTGCCAGGTGAACAAGCGCGTGAAGGTGCTGCTGCGCATCAACCCCGACGTTGACCCCCAGGTGCACGCCTACGTGTCCACGGGGCTGGCCAGCAGCAAGTTCGGCATCCGCAACAGCCACCTGCAGGTGCGTTGGGGTGGGTGCGTATGTTTGTTTGTGTGTGCGTGTGTGCGTGTGTGCGTGTGGCTGTGGGTGTGTGAGTGTGGGTGGGTGTGGGTGGGTGTGTGGGTGTGTGCGCGTGGGGGGTTGGGGGAGAGGAGGCATGTCCAGGAGTGGTGGGCGGGCGGGGCGTGTGTGTACGTGTGGATGTAAGAGTGGGTGAGTAAAGCATGCGTGTTTGAGGGTGATATCTGTGTATGTATATATACATATATATTGTATGTGTGTGATTGTGCGTGTGAACGTATGGAAATCTCCAAGGCCGCTGCTGGGTGATGACCAAACCATAACACCACACCTGACAATATCTGACATCCATTGATGCGAGTGACCGCCTGACAGCAGCGCGCCTCCCTCCCCCTTGGCCTCCCCCTGCCCAACTGACCGCACCCGCGGCCAGCAGCCCCTGAAACCCCACCCTTACCCACCCGCTCCCCCCCCCCAAACACACACACATACACACACTACCATGTAATGAAACCGCCCCTCAGTGGTTCCTTGACGCCATCAAGGCCGAGCCCATGATCGAGCTGGTGGGTGTCCACAGCCACCTGGGGTCAACCATCACAAAGGTCAACATCTTCAGGTGGGGGCGGATGCCGACGGCATGCGTGTGTGTGGGTGGACGTGGGTCTGCGTGTGGGTGTGGGTGTGGCAGTGTTATGTGTACATGTGCGCCAGTGTGTGTGTGCGTGTGTAGGTGTGTGGGTGTCGGTGTGCGTGCGGGTCGGATAGTGGGCAGGTGTTGGTCACAGGGGAGGGGCATTGCATGTACTGTGTGTTGTGCGCAAGCAGAGAGGCACAGGAGTCGCCGGTGCTCTCGACATCAGACACGCCCGCCGCCCTCGGCGTCTGCCGGCAAGGCGCCGGCCCCTGGGGTCCGCTGTCTCCCCCTTGACCCCACAC